TGGCCCCAGGGTCACATTCGCTGCCTTGGCTGGGCAGCAGCTGCCCGTGCCCCACTCCCTCCCTCACTGTGGAGCCCTCAATCTTCCCCCTCTCACACCCCTTCCCCACCCCCACAGACTTATCAGCAGACTTGGCTGCTCTCCAAGCTGCTGGGCTGCATTCCTGAAAATCAACTATCAGATTGATATCAGCCAAGAAAATTTTTATTGGTGTATCTCTATTTGGTCATCCAAAATTATTACAGGGATAGGCTCTATAGGCATGTCTACACTTGCATTAATGCACCCTTGATACTGCGCATTAAGCTTAGTATCTCTAATATAAGGTACTAACTAAATGTGCTGTAGCTGGCGCTTCTGCGTAGTAGTGAAGGTGTGTGGTCTTTTCGTGATGTGTACCGCGCAGTAGACTATTTTTACTGTGCATTAGCATGGCTTTTGATGTGACATGCTAATGCGCAGTAGAATTAGTTTACTGCACAATAAGGTCTCATGTAGACGTGCCCCATAAGAACTTAACTAGGATTAGAAGCAGCAATACTGGGTTTAGCTATTGATCTACAAATACATGCAAGAAAAAGCTTGCCTTTGACTCTGGTTCAGACTTCCAGATTTCACTCTCTGAGATCTTTCCCATCTTGCACAGTATCTGGAAGGATAATATTTATACTATATGAGCAATGATGTTTTACTCAATAATCACAATTTAGAATATGAGGAAAATGAGAACCTTATTTTTTCCATATGCTAACAGTAAGAACAACTTAAAATCTCTGAGAAGAATAGATATTATTAGCTGGAAGTGCCTTGCATCAGAAAATGTATGGTGATACATATGTTGAATATCAGCAAGGGAAAGAAAAAGGACTGATTTTTGTGCTTCTTGCAAAATGTGATGGCTCTACACCAAACTTTTGAGCATTTCTACAATGTTCTAAAGCTTTTTACTGACTCATTTCTCTCTCATGTAAGAGGCTAGATTTCACACAGGAATTCACACATGCTGCCACTTTGCCAGACAGTCACTGTAAGCTTCATCTCTCACCAGACGCAGGTGAAAATATGCTATCATACAAGAATCTTTTCTGTGGCCTGTCTGAGTAAGGCTGAGTTAAGTTTAATGTTGTCTGACTCATGAGAAAGAAAATCTATTTGAAGTGATGCTTGTTAGATAGCACACCATCAGGATGAGGGATGTACATTTGTGTATCTGAAAGTACTTGATTAAGGAGTTCTTCCTTGGCCTTTTGAGGAGTATTGCTAAAGCAAAAGACAACAAATATAGATGTAAAAGCAGCAGAAGTTTTCATGGATAAGAGTATCTCTAGCACAGACAAGTAAATGCTGCTGTAATTACCACTCTTAATACATACAGCGGGGTAGGAGTGTGATTTGAGTGAAGTGCAAGTAATTATAAAATCAGTGTGGCATCATATCAAATGGAAGCTATTTCCCAGATTCTCCATTCTGCTTAAGTCCCTCTATACCACTGCTTTGGTGTTAATGGCCTGAATAGAGCAGGTATTTGTAATTTATACACACTGTAAGGTTCTTTCCGCCTCTTAGAGTGGTGTGAAGTGGCTTTCATGTTACTGCTACCTGGCTCAAAGTATGCTGCTGGGTTTTTTTAAACAGACTTATGAGTTCCCCATTATGAGCTGATGAAGCTTGTCTCAATCTACTCTGTCAGTGAGAGAAAAGCAGAAGGGAGTGATCAAAGAAAGGACAGTAGGCAGATTTCATGGGCCTGTGACAGGAAGTAATAGCACATAACTAACATTTTATTATATATAATGAATATTATATTTGAAAACAGGATGCAACTGATTCTGATGCAAGTTACACTCATATATTGGAGGGCAGCTTTGGACTTGAGGCATTAAATTTTAGACAAAGTATACTGCCCAGATTTGGATTTAACACTTCAACTGAGTGATATTCTATAGCATTCTGCTTTCTATGACACTATAATTGCATTGCCTCACATCATTTAATAACAACATGCAGAATACATTTTAAAAAGCCTTCTCTCTCAAATTATCCTGGAATCCATCACCTTAATTCTACAAGTCCTCTTCCCCAGTTACAATACCTATTACGCAGGATGACAGATACTGAAATCAAAACCTCTGTGGTTTGTCTGGTCTCATTTGGGCCCTTAATAGAGATGACCAAAGAAAATTGGCTTATAGTACCTCCCTTGCTGCTCTCTCCCCAGCCTGCACAGCTCCTTCCATGTACCCGCTCCACTGGGTAGCTGTCTCTGTGCCAGCAAAGTAGATCCTGCCAAATGACTCTCGAATGATCCTTTAAAACAAATGCAAAATATCAAAGGCTGTGTAAAAGAAAGCTGATGATCCTTCTACAAGCACTTTATTATGCTTGACACCACAGCCTATGCTTAATTTCTCATGAATTCTTGCAGGGCTGACACGGGAAGGGGAAAAAGTACCTTGAGTTAGCATTTACTTGTTGCTATAATTTTAACATTACTCAAAACCCAAGTCAAAGAAAAATCCAAGGCACAAACAAATCAAGCTCCAAGATCCTCCAAAATCTAGTGACCCATAGAGTCTGGGTGGTTAAGGCATGTAAATTTCTATATTCAAGAGCACACAAGTATCATGGCTGGCTACCCTTGGCTCCCCAGCACAAATAACCAGGTACCCCTTTTCAGATGGGTTAACTGGAGGTAGCTTCTGACAAAAGTCAAAAGCAGGGGTTCAGTTTATACCCCTGAAGCAGTAGCCAGATGCATGTAAACCAGTACATCCCCAAAGTGATGCAAGTCTTGTCTTAGTGCTCACAAAAGGAGCAAGCCAGAGAGCCTCAAAAAATGCACTGTAGTTGAATGGGTTTATTTTTCACTGCATGGCTGCTTTTCTGAAATTTTGCCATTACAAATGGTGGGCTGTCTGTAGCAATGGGTTGTTGACAACAACTTCTAGGTGCAGAAGAACTTTTCAGTTTGAATGTCAAAAGGGAAAAGACAGAAGTATCCGCATACAGAAGGGAGGGCTGGATCTCCTCCCTTGCTTCACTGCACAAAAACTCCACAAGCCACTTGAACCAACAGAGCCATAGGAATGGTGTTCCCTTTCCACAGGGGAAAGTATCTATTCTGTTGTGGCATGGATGGACCTTCCTCAACCACTTGAAATTGGCTCCTCTTAAGGCTGTCACCAGCTTTGCTGCTCACTAACGGCACTCAGACTAATAAAACAGAGTTCCTGCATGTTCAGGGCATCTCCCAGCTCTCTGACACAGGACTAGGATATTTCATAGGTAACTAACAAGTGGTTTGAGAAAAAAATGTTAATGGCAACCACTGTGTCCTTGACAAGGATGTTTGATTTATTTGGCTGCCCCCCAAAAGGTTTTGGAAGGTATATCAGGTTCACCACAAGTTGGCTGATAACAACCAGCCATTAATCACTAGTACCTAATATATTCCATAAGGCAGTGGTTCCCAGACTCTATTCTACAGATGTCAGGCGCCAGGTGCCTATATAGTGCTTTCAATTAAATTTTGAAATTTGATTATGAACCCATGAGGGTCTATGAGAAATGAGGGTTGATGGGGTTCAGTTAGTCCAGGTTGACAGGTGGTCCAAAATGTTTGAGAACACTGCCATAATGAATACAACAATTTCCTATAAATATAATTACATTTAATATACCTAATTACATGTCAATGCTTGCTGACTTTAACAGGGCCTGGACGTCACTGTACATGCTCTGTTCAGTACAGTACATATGGCAACAGTTACAAACAAAGGAGAATGAAAAGCAAAGTATTATTTTACATACCTTCCATATTGAGTCATTATGCCTGGTGGGAAGTAGACTGTATAACAGCCACCTGAATACTGTTCTGCACTCCAGTTCTTCTCTTCATAATGCACTGGCTGCAACAGTGAATAAAACGTGAAATAAAGAAAACAGACAGTGGCTAGAAAACTGGAAACAATTAAATATAGGTACTCCTTTAAGAACAGAAAAACCAGATAATGTTAAATGATAAAGGAACTACATGGGGCCATGTTAGTACAACCCAGTATCACATAATGATTTACACTTCTCGAGCACTGACCTCCCATACAGTATTTAACTGTATTATCTTCTCCTTTCTAGTACAGCATGAGATAGTGAACTCGTTTCTTCCTGCACTATTTGGGATTCACTGGCTACAGTAGGAACTATAAAATCAGATGGCACAACCTAAATAATTTTGAGAGATTGATATTTTAATCTTGCCCTTGTTTCACCATCAAGTAGAAGTGGCTAGCACTGCTACAGTATAAAGGCAAAAAAATACACCAGTATCTTACATGTAAAGCCTCTTCTGAACCCAGCACTTTGGCATACAGCTCACAGATTTTCTTTTTCCTACATGAAGATGCAAGCAGTAGTCAGAAGACAAAGGAAAATGAAACTCAGCTATTTTAAAAATTACAAAGTATTCCCCCCCACCAAAAGCAACCTTTTTGGGTGAAAATGATCCTAAGTTCATGTTCATAAGACAAATGTTCAGACATTAATGCCTAGGGGAGGGCCTAGCCAGTATATAGGCTTGCCTCCAGGGCAGATGGACTCACTCTGGCCCTGACAATGGAAGAGGAAGGAACTGTCCTGCAAGATACAGGAATCTAGGTCACAGGGAAAGGAGGAACTGTTAGTAGGGGAAAAAGACCCTCTCCCCCTTGTTGGTGAGCGCCTGGAAAGGTTAAGATTTTGGTGCATGCTTGTTTTTGTTTACTCCATGGGATTGTATTTCTGTTAAGAATTAGTTTAGTTACCAGGAGGACCAGAAATGGCAGTAAGATGAGTGGTTTAGAGGACACTGGGCAGAGTGCCCCCAAGCATGCTGTGATCATTAACCTTGTAAGGGCCAGGGGCACCGAGAGGGATAGGGTGAGGCAGGGAAGCTGGGCCAGAAGCAGCAGCCCAAGGCTAAAGGCTACAGCCGGACAAAAGTGGGCTAAAGCTGAGGGGGCTGAAGCCTAGACAAACTGCATAGAGCCCGAGGTGCAGAAACTGTTGAGCCAGAAGGCTATGAACGAGGACTGAACATATGAGGTATGGGTATGGCTAGGAGCAGTAGAGACCACGAATAAGGCTCCTAAGGCATGACTGGTACTCTAAGGTACAGATAGGGCCAGTAGGGCCATGAATGGTGCCTATAAGACAGGATACATGCCAGCAGGGTGCAGAATAGGTCTTTGGTAGCAGACAGGGTCTAAGAATACAAATAGGACTGAGGGTCTGAATAAGTAAATTAAGTCAGGATAAGGGCAGCACTGATAAGCAAGTGACTCCAGGACTCTGGGGAAGCCTCGCACAGTAATATAACATGTTTGTCAAAGTGTGGCAAGTGGAATAGCAAAGGGGTACACAGAGGAGCTGGAGCGGGGCAGATTTAGCATGGCTACTAGCGGGGAGCCATGGCTGCTTTCAGCGGCCTGTCCTGTTACAGAGCTCCTGTCCAATGCGGGGCAAGGGGTGACATGTGTTTTGCCCAATAAAGCAGATCAGCTGTGGCAGGATGCACCATGCCACAGCTGATCCACTTCAGTTTGGCGATGTTCGTTTCTACCTCAATAGAAATCTTCTACCATCTGGCCTCCACACAAAGTCCACCAAAGGTGAAGTATTTCTACGCTCTCCACAGTATCCTAATGGTATGGGTCTATGTGCAAGTGGTCAGGAGGGATACAGTGTAGAAACTCTGCAGTAGTCTGCAACTGCCACAGTAAAAACAACCCTCCCCCCCAGGGAGGGCAACAGGCTAGTGATAATGTGGAACAGCTGACAGTACTTGGAAACTTTACAATATTCTTAAAAGGGATTTATTGGGACATGGACCTGTTTACAAAAAGTTCTGTTTGGCCCCAGAAGCTTGCTGAGTCCTGGCATCTGTGGCTGCTGTGTGTGGACACAGAAGTGACTTTGAAGCATCTTGAAGAAGAAACTTTCATAAAATAAATATTTATAATTTGTAAATTCTTACCTCTCTTCCTTGCTAAGATGCACCAGCTTAAAGGCCTTTCTTGTAAGGATAAAACTAAAGAGAAAAAGTAACATAAAGATATTGTGCAGTGTCAATATTCAGACTGATTTTTCAAAGGACAGGAGTAGGGTGTGTACTTGTAGGGACTTTAAAATGAGAAAGGAATGAAACTAATGCTTATGTAAAATATGGTTTATAACAAGTAAAGAACAAAGCTCCAGGCCCATTCCTATCAGTAACTGCTTTAAGATGTATTCAACAAGAATCAAACTGATTTCTGGACTAGCTCCATTCTCTTTCATGGAGATACATGAAGGATGTATTTGGCTCCTACAATCTTTAATAAGGTTGCTTACATTAACATAGAGATGATCCCATGCTGATTTTGGTAGCAAGAAAAAAAATATTTCAATTCCTGCTTTCAACAGTAACTTAAGAGGTACAGTAGGGGGTTTATTGCTCTCAGATGGAGACATCTTTAACATTTTTGATCATGCCTGTGTTATAAAATTCAGTAGTTGTATAAGGTTTCTTCTCTATGGTGTTGCAAATGCAATTATATCACATAGCTATACAGCTTGTTTGGTAAATTCAACTTAGATTGAATTGGGATATCTTTTTCATTGCTTATATTCCCTTAATTCAATCTCAACTTAATAGCCAGTAAACACTATTACATTTTTTTCCAGCTCCTCTTCCAAACTGCACCTCTAACACTTGGCAGGTTCTTCAGAATCCCAGATCTTTCACTGAACAGCTGCTCTCTGGACTAATTACAAGCTGTTGTGAGGAACAGTCCTTCATCTCTCTTCAGTGCAGTGCAGATTTAAGACAACCAGTGACTTTGTGCTGACCGTATTTTCAGGATTCAGCATGCTAAAAAATAAAGGCCCAGTATGTTCAGAGCCAAAGGCCTGGTAAATGCGACTAAGGATGGTTTGATCTCTACAGTGACAGTTCAGCAAAACACTTAAGTGTGTGCTTATCTTTAACTATTTGAGTAATCTCTCTGGACTTCCATGGAAGCAGTCAACAACCTCTTCCTAACTGCCTCTTATACACTGAACTATTCAGGGCTGGTACTCCAGGGATGGTCCTCCAAGGCAGGTAGTACAGAGACTGGAAGGGCCTTCGTAGATACTGTCTCCCGGATTAAAGTTCCCTCTGAATACTGATGGCAGAGTACCGCATTCTCTCCCCCAAAGAAAGATTGTTGCACACCTTGTTTTGGAAGGTACAATGAAGAAAAAAAGATTTTTCCAGAGTCATGGCTGAATGTAGGCTGGCTGGAGCGGGGATATCACTCACTCTCCTTGCAGACTCTGCAGCTGATGCTTTAACCCTGTCACAGCTGCACTGGCATCTTGAGCTGGGGAGTTTGCAAGGAGAGAGTGAATGATGCTAAAGATAAGACTCCACCCCACCTGCATGCAACCAGAGGCCAGCATGCAGTCAGCCCCTTGTAACCATTACAGCAGCCCCATGTCTCCATTTTGGTGTGGAAGACATATGCCAGAGTTTCTGAGGGCTAATTTTTAGGAAAAAGGTGTGGTGTATGAGTAAATATGCTGTGCTACATGGGTCTTCCAAAATGGGAGTGATTATCACATGTATTCCACCCACTTTCCCCTGTAATCCTTTATTCAAACAACTATAAAGCAAGGGCTCCTTACCCCATAATGGCAGGCACAGATCCATCAGGTTTAGTGTCATCTAAGGTTATTGAAATTGGAGCTTCTTCATCCTCAATGACCATGCTGCCACAGTAATCTGACAGGAGAAAAGAGATTGAGATGGTTGTCAGAGATGATAAATGCTGATCATTGTTCACTGTAGTTCTTCAGTTGAGACAGAATAATTGCATGCACAAATACAGATAGGGGAATGACTGGCTAGGCTACAGTACTGCAGAGAAGGGCCTAGGGGTTACGGTGAAACAAACTGAATATGAGCCAACAATATGCTCTTTGTTGCAAAAAAAGTTCACAGTCAGTGTCAACAGGAATGTCACTTGCAAATCAAGGGAAGTGATTCTTTGGCTGTATTCAGCAGGGGTGAGGCCTCACCTGGAGTACTGTGTCCAGTTTTGAGCCTCACATTTCATGAAGGATATGGACAGTTTGGAAACAGCCCAGTGGACAGCAACAAAACTGATTAAGGGCCTGGGAAGCACAATTTATGAGGACAAGCGGAAAGAACTAGGGTTATTTAGTCTGGAGAAGAGAAGAATGGGAGATTTTATAATAGTCTTCAAATATTTGAATGGCAATTATAGAAAGGATAGAAATAGGCTTTTCTCTGTGGCCATAGAGGACAGGATGAGGTGCAATGCCCTCAAGCTGCAGCAAAGGAAATTTAGGCTGGAGATTAGAAGGAACTTTCTGACTATGAGGATGGTTGGGCATGGGAACAGACAACCTAGAGAAGTTGTAGAATCTTCATCCCTAGAAATTTTCAAGAGCAGGTTAGACAGACATTTGGCTGGGGTGGCTTAGTCATGGATGATCTTGCCTGAAGCAGGGGGTGGACTAGGTGACCTCAAGAGGTCCCATCCAGGCCTACCTTCCTATTTCCTAATGAAAAGTTAAAATGTAAATCCCCAGCATTTTTTCATTCACTGATAATACCTAGAAACCTGGAACCATCTTTATAGCATTGTCTCTCTCTTTCTCAGTATCATTTTTGAAACCATGGGTGCTTATACAAGACCAGTGAGTCTGCTCCGATGGAATTCCAGTGCATTGGAGCAGACTCAATGTCTTAAATAAAAGTATTATTTTTTTAACTTCCCAAAGGAACAAAGCATATACGGTGAAGGGTAAAGCACACCCTCGGCAACTTCTGGCTTCTCACTCAATGCTTCTTTCCTTTTCTAGCATCTCGAAGGTTTAGGATCCCCTTTGATAATAGGCTCCAGGTTGGGAACAGAGAAGTAGTCTGGAGAAAGAACTCACCCTGCATTAGTTCCTCAAGGAGCTTTACCTTTGCCACTCTTTTACTGTGGGTTTTTCCCTTTACCATACAGCTAAGAGTCGTAACCTTTGCCAGGTCCTTTAATTTAATTTCTGGTAGACAGGCAGGTTAATATCAAACATATAACCTGCCAGGTATTTTATTTTTTTAAAAATCCACAACTCCCTTATTCTCTACAACATGACTTTTAGGTCAGTGAGACAATAAAATCTCAGGTTCTTCATTTTTCTAATTATTGATACCCACATACCCATCTTTCTCCAGAAGGCTTCCTTGTAGTACACCATGCATTTGATGACAGAGCCCATAGGAAGACGTTGAATTAACTGGTTTCTCTTTGTTGGTAATTCTGGGTTGAAATGGATCTTTGTAGTCAGGCCAGGGGGAATAGCACTGATCACATACTTGCCCTGAAACAAAGCGCATTCATTATTATAGGCATGTCTAGTAACACTGTCTATTACTAAGGTTGATCAACAGTTCCCATTACAAGGCCCCATTCTCAGTTGCTTATAATTTTGCCAGGCTTTAATCAAATGAGCTAAATTTTTCCGGGGGGTGGGAGGGGGCAGACGGGACTGCCTTAGACTTTTAATTTTTACTTTTACATTTCAGCCCTTTCTCAAAAGAAGCTTACGGACAAATGAGTGTTTTGCAAGTGTTTCTTTGAGCTCCATACTTTGAGGTACAGATTTTAAATGGCAGTGTGTGTCAGGGATGTGCCCTTTGCCATTCCCAAATTGTAAGCCTTCAAAGAAAGAAACACAGTTCACAGATGCTCAGAAGGATTCTCAGTAATGGTTCATCCCAAGTGCTCCAAGCTGGGAAGAACTGGCATTGTCAATAAATGCAAGGAACTTTTCTCTTCTGCATTTAGTTACTTCCTTACTGGCATCCAGGCAGTGGGGAGGAGGAAAATGATTTAAATGCTGAGGAAGCAAAAGCAAATGGAAGGGTAAGGGAGAAGGAAAACAGTAGATTGGGAAGACTAGTCTGGGGAGCCTGGGACAGCGATGGGAGGTGAAACCATGACTGGGATCTGGAAGGGGAAGATTGGGACTCGTTGGGCAAGTAAAGTGGAACTGGGATAAGAAGTGTGAGTGTGAAAAATGAGATTGGCTGGAGTAGATATATGGTAGAAGGCATTCAAAACAGAGGGAAATGGAGAGAGAACCACTCATCTCCAGAGCATGGAGTGGACCCCCTAGAATCTCATCATCCCTCCCCTTGAATCTCATCATCCCTCCACTGTCAAAAGATACTTGTGAAATCCTTTGACAAAAAGGGCATGTCTTTCCTTTCTAGGGCTGGTCCATATAGAGACTGACAACCAACAACTGCCATCAGTAAATTTGTTAGCTCAAATGGCAAACATTTCTAACATGGATCTAAAGGTTACGGCCTGGTTTATCAAAGTCACTCTGGATGTCACTCTGATGACAGTTGATGAAATATTTTGTTCTGTTTTTTATTTTTTTAAATGGCAATTACACACAAAAAGATTTATGCTGGAAAAGACAGAAGTTAGGAAATACATGAATTAAGGTAACCTGTGCAACCTAATCTAGCTGCTTTATGAACATTGCTCAGTGTCACAATTATGCATTCATTTTGAGGGTTTAATCTGAGATGCCTGGGACATGCATTTTCAGGGTACCTCTGTTGCTTTTATTTTATTTTTATATATATAAAAGGCTGTGCAACTTCTAAGTGCATGCTCAATGGGCCACACCAGCCATGTCTGCATCAATGGAGGCCATAGATCCCTGGGGCCACATTCCATATGTCCCACTCCTCCCTATTACATCATGTGTCCTGCTGCTGCACCACATACCCTGCACCACATACCCTAGTATCCCACTCCTCTGTACTGTATGCCCAGGCACCCTGCCTCACCCTAAAAATCCCTGGTCACAGGCTCTGCTGCTGCTACATCATGCCTCTCGGGTGCCCCGGGATGAGGCAGGGGAAGTTGGAAGGAGAAGGAGCCCAGAGACCGCAATTGCTTCTGCAGCAGGAGCAAAGCGGGGGAGGAGGGGAGCCTGGGGGCCGCAGTGTAAGCCCATGGGCTGCCAGCTGGACAGTCTTTCTCTACACATTCAAAATACAGCTTCCACTGACTTCAGTTGCAGCTGAGTACTCAACACGTCTGCATCCAAACCCTGCAGCTTCAAGCCATTTCTCAAAAAAGGAGGGACACCCAGGTAGTGACCTCCTGTGGGAAACTCATTTTACTATCTTTGCGCAAGAAGTCTGTGAAAAAGGTAGGGATGGAATCTAGTTTTAAATCTGTGTTGACATAGGCCATTCTCTCTCTTTCTGCAGTCCTTTGATTTGTCCCCTAAAAACCTTCCAAATGGGGACCTACAAGCTTTCTTTACTTCACAACCCTGATTTGCCCCCAGAGCCATCTTCATCATCTGTACTGAATGGGACAGGGGTCCTGTGGAAAAAATAGAATGTGATGATATACTTAAAGATTATTTTATAAGGCTGAAGTAAGACTGTACAGGACAACCTAGTCATGGCCTAACCTCTGACTGCTTGGCTTTGTAATCTTAATAACGTTTTTTCAACACCGTGCTATGTAATATAAACATAAATTACAATCAGAGATAGGAACAGGAACATAAAATGACACAGTCACAAGATAAAACAAAACATAGAAAAAGTAGACTAATGCCAGGAACCAATTAGCAATACACTAAGATGACAACCAGTCATAAATAAATCAGGAAAAGGTTTCAAAGTCTTTCAGGGTAGTTTGAGAAGTGGAAAGAAATGAATGTGTAGTGCTGATTGGATTTGGCTAAGAGCTGTAGCAGACACATCCCCTCACTAAATGCATCTCTCTCTCATTTTTATTGAATTACCTCATATTTCTCATGGTTTAGTGTCTGCACAATGACATTTTCACCTGACTGATCAATGTGGACTACAGGTCTCTCCAGTTTAACTCTTCCTCCAAGGCGTTGCATTATCTTCTCTGTAATCTGACCAGAGCCTCCAACAAACTTCCGCTCCTAGGAATAAAAAACCGCAAGGAAAAATCATTGTCAGAACAGAAGGGTCAATAATAAAGTCTGTTTCCACACAGAAAACATAGGGCTAGATTTCCAAGTGCTGAGAGCCCAGCACTCACTAGCAGGGCCAGACTGTCAATAGAGGTGTTTCATGAACCAACCTCAGTGGTCGCATCTATACGAGATGCTTTACTGTGCAGTAGACTAATCTACTGCACAGCAAGCTGTCACCGTGTAACTGAACAGAAACTACTGTGTAGTAAATTAGACTAATGCACAGTTTTATCCTATCTGTAAATACAGGTGGTAGATTAACTGTGCAATAGCTACTGTGCAGTACTGCTCATATAGATGCTGACTGGGAGCAAATTTGCTCCTGGTCAGCTACATCACCAGGGAGTCACAGGGGGCGGGGGAGTTCTCTGTCCCCAGTGTGGGTGCTATTCAGCTCCCAGCTCCCCTCAGAAGCTGGAAGCCAATCAATGCCAGGACAAGGTAACTCTCTGCTCCCCCTTTCCCAGTGCTGCGTGGGCCTCAGCTCCTCACAGGAACTGGGAGCCAAGAAGTGCTGGGACTAGGGAGGCAGTGCTGGGAGTGCTTTCCCACTCAGCCAGGGGCTGTCTGGGAGTGTCTCACTCAGCTGGGGGCTGGCCAAAGCTGTCCCACTTGTGGGGCAGCTGCCAGCAAACCCCTGATAGGCAGGGATTCCCCACTCACTTGGTGGCTCCTTGGCAGCTGCCCCATAAGCAGCCAGTGCCTGGGTGAGCAGGGAAGCAGAGAGCTCCCCAGTCCAGCTGCTGCTTGGCTCCTGTGGGCACAGCTCCGGCCAGGGGACAGAACAAGTGGGACAGCTCCCTGCTGGGCTGGGACTCCCCCCTTATCTGGTGGCTTGCTGGCAGCTGTCCCACAAGCTGGATAGCTCCTGGTGAGTCCCCTGCTGTGCTCACTGGCAACTGTGTGTCCCAATATGCATGGGGCTGGGACAGCTCTGCCAGCTGCAGCAGTTGCGGTCTCCTAGCCCCATGTACATCAGGACCCCTCCTGATGTGCACAGGTCCAGGAGACAGTTGCTGTCACAGCCAAAAGATCTCTCCTGCCCCTGTGCACTCTGGTCCCCATGCCTCCTGCCAGCTTCCAGCCTAGCATCCCAGGAGAGCCTGGAGCTCCCCCTGGATGCTGCAGGGGGGCAGAACAGGGCAGGAGCAGCCCTGTACTGGTCTCTCCCATTGGGAGAAGATTTGCTTCCAACAGGGTGCACATGTAGACACCTTCCTGGGGAAGACTTATTGTGCAGTATTTTCCTGTGCAGTAAGCCTATATTGCATTAATAGCACGTGTAGATGTGCCCAATGACTATTATGTCCATAATCTTGTGTGAGTTTGTCAGGTTATTAATCAGCTGGTTTAATGACTCATCCAGGCAAAGAAGTCAAAAAGGATCCTAAAGCAGACACTTTAGCAACTGCAGACAAACTATATAATAATGAATGGAGTTCTATTGCGTTACATGTAAATGTGCTAAAAAATACTCATATAGAACAAAAATACTAGCTTGTTTTTCCAGTGCTGAACTTATATAAGCCCCAGAAGCAAAACAGAGCTTTAAAAAGAATCTGGACCTAAGACAGACAGCACTGATCTTCATCTTTCCAGGGAGGGCACAAGGACTTTGTGGTCTGAAACAAACTGAAATTCTCCCTGTTACACATCTTTGTGATTCCAGTGTAGAGGCTTGGTGGAAGTTTTGCACCAGTGGTGGCCAATTTTTTTTGGCAGGTGTGCCACAAATTAAGTCCCGTGGTCTCCCTTGTGCCATTCCAATGTTCTTCCCCTGCCCAATCAGCTGCTCTTCTTTTTGCTTCCTGCCCTATCTGCTACTATGATGCTTACCCCCAACCCGATCTGCTATGTGGTGGACATAGAGGCTGCCCATGCCACTTAGGACACACAAGCCATAAATTGGTCAATCCTCTTTCATTTTTCTAAGAGCCCAACTTCCCCACTTCAGCCATGAGAAGATGCAGGACCAGCCATGAACAAATGACTAACTGCTGCAAAAAGCGGTTTAAAAATATGCTTCCTCAGGTTTGTCCAAAATGAAGTGCTGCTGTACCCACATGGTGCCACTGAAGAGCTTGCTGCTTCCCTCTTCCCACTAGCTTTCTCTCTATACAAGATGCCTAATGTGTAGAAGACTAATTTTACTGCACATTAGTGCGGCAGGCAAAGCCTGTGCTAATGTGCTAATTTAGTCTAATGTGCAGTAGCATCACAAAAAACGCACCCATCTGCACTAATGCACAGTAGTGCCAGTTACGGTGTATTAAGTTAGTACCTGTCATTACAGGTACTAAGCTTAATGTGCCATAATTACGGTGCATTAATGAACTTGTAGACACACCCCAAGTGTACCAAATCCCAGAAATAAGGCTATCAATCTTCACGCAGTGCTGAGCCCATGTCCAAGCCACTCTCAGGCTTCTTGTCTTATGCATGATTACTGAGATGTACTGGAGATGTTCATAAGTGGGGATTTCTGGGATTAGGCATGCATGGAGTGGGAGATGGTGGGAAGGACATGCTTCTCAGTGCTGTTCACAGGCTCAGCGTGGAGGCAGCACAGTCATGGCTTTGGCTTTGTAAGTCATAAGAACTTGCACTTTTTTCCTCTTTTTTAATCTTTGGAGTGGAAATCAGAAAACTGCACCACTTCTAGGCACAAAGGAAACAGACTGTTCCAACAAACTGCAACCAAAATTCTCCTTTGGGGCTTTATACTCTACCCCCCTCCCTACCCTGCCTACATTGAAATAGGCTGCTTACTGAGTTATAGGCATCTCAGGATATTTTTGTGGTTCACAGCACTACACTGCCAAACCTAGCAGCCACTGTCATTGCTTGCACGTTGAAAGTAAATTGTTACACGAATGCTCTGAGACTGGGGTAACCAAAGGAGAAGGCTGGAGAGAAGCCAGAGAAATGTCATGTCCAAAATATTCCAACACCTTTGGAATATCTGCATTCTCTTCCAGAACTTCACCCAAACTAATCAGGAGAAAAATGTGAATTTTGCAATATTTGGATGCCTCTTATCTTCTATAACTGAGGAGGGACATACATGATACAAGGTATGAGCTGCCTTTCAAGAGCTGTTCACTACCCATTTCTATTTCTTGCCAATAGAAGTTGCTATAAAGAAGAGGAAAAGCTAGAGGCAAAACTGTTCAAAGATTTCTGTATTAGCCATAGCAGCCCTACCTCCCACTCCCAAACAACTTAAAACCAGAAGCAGAGGCCCACCCCATGTTTCATGATCATCAAAAACTTGATGCAATGACCAAGGAACATTTTCTGTAGAACCCTATAATAAAATGATCCAAGCACCTACTTACTGCATTTCTAGTGAGTTTGAACCATACCTGCTTTGGATTCTTGGAAGACACTCAAATCTTCAGTTATGATAAGTAACAATGGAAACTAAATTGGCAGATATGTATCAACAAACAACTATAAAAGAAAACTGGAGTGATATAAATATGGTGATAGCAGGGAAATTAAAGAAATGATCCCAATTTAACCTGAAGCCTAAATTGTAAATGCCGCCTAATACAAAATTGAACAACTGTTCAGCGACTTCAAAATCACACCAGAGTATTGGTTCGCTATGTAAAATGGTTCATCACCTTTTCATTTAGACTGCAGAGAAAAACAGTGGAGTCGCATCATATGCACATTTAACTTAGGCAAATTCAACTATACGCGCTCGGCAAAAAAAAAAAAAAAGCAAAAAGAGAGAAAAATAACAATTTAAATAGTGCGGGTGATTCTGCCCACCATTCCACTCAACGAGTTCCCGCCTCTGATAGTGTGAGCATCTTGCCGTGCTCAGTGTGATTCTAGTGTTTAAAGATACGTATTTTTTGTACAACGTGGCCCCTAAACGCAAGCCAACTATTTCATCTGGTGCTCAACCAAAGAAACAGCGATCTGTTTTACCCAATATGGGCGATTTAAGGGATTTTCAAGGGTAATTTTGACTATACGTGATTTTTGCCTTACATGCTGACTTCAGAACCTAACCCCCGTGTAAGATGCGACTCCACTGTACTAAGTTTGTAGGAAAAACAACACTGCATCTGTTCTTTATGGCCTTCAGAAAGGAAGAAAGCATGGTGGTCTGTACCTGGCCCCCATTGGTTACGGAAAATATCCTGGTTGTTCCCCCACACTGCTTCACGTACCACAGGAACCAGAGAGCAGAGACCTCGTGTGGCTCAGAAGTGACATTGACGTTCACAAAGAGAGTAGCAAAGTCTCTGGCAGCTCTACATGCAAAACAAAATAGAAACAAGTCAAGCAGGAAATGTTACTTTGCTGCTGTGTTGTACTACGTTTCGGTTATTATCCTTGATCAAGGTTATTGCCACAAAGTGTACCCATCGTTGCTGTTTGATTCACTTTTGAGCCTGTAGAAAGGAAAATTTGAACGAGTTCATATAAAGAGCCCTCCACCCTCCCCAGGATTCATCCATTGTGTGTGGGAAATCATGTTGATTTAGCCTTCTTATCTCCCTAATTAGTTTCCCAGCTACTATTGCCGTCATCAAAACCAATACTTTCGTGACAGGGGACTGCATTTGGTAGCCATTTACTGGAGCTCTTCTGCCTTTTTCCTCCATGGGGAGCTCATCAAGTACATCATTCCCATAGTTTAATGGTTCTCCAATGGCTCAAAGAGTAAAGTTTCCTCAGCCACATCTTTATCTCCCATATATCACTAAAATGCAGCTTTTTTTGCTGACTCCAAATTACATACTGGTTATATTACCCGGTAATGGCCTTGATCACAGTAAATATATAGCAAGGGCCAAACTGTGTGTTGAGATAATTCTACTGCAGATAACAGAGTTACATTACACCAGGAGAAAACCAGGCCTATTGCATGTACCCTTATTTCACTTGTGTTTTGTAAATTGCTGTCAAGGTTTAGATAATTTTGAAAAGTCAGTCAAAGGTCTTCCACATAAAGTCTCATTAATAAAAAGAATATCTAATCCTACGCTGTGGTCAGCAACTTAACAAGCTCTCTCTAAAGGAAGATGTAAATTGTGAACTTTTACAGCCCTTTCTTACTTTGCTCCCAAGCACCAGTGGATCTAGGATTTTGAAAGGGGGAATGTATAGTCGGGCAGAATGGGGACATGGTACTCCCCTTAATTCAGCAGAACCAGGGAAGGGTTAACCTGGCTCTCAGCAGTGACACCTCCTGTCACAACAGCATCCTGCTCTGCTCTGCCTAGTTCTACTTTGCAACTGGGAGAAAAAATTGAAAGGGTGGGGGGCAACAGCACTACTCTGCATCCCCCCTAGATAAGCCCCTGGTTCCTGGGGTATTTTTATTTTTGTGAGCATGCACCTCACTTGCCATTTATATTATTGGTGTGGATATGAAAGCACCAAACATAGAGAACTTTCACGAAGGGCAATGAGAGCTCAGGTACAAAGCACTTGTAGCACTGTATCCTAAGGGCTAAGCCTGAGATATTTAGAAGAACTCCCATGAGTCAGATACTGACCTTTGGCACATGACATGAATATGATTTTTAGTAGCCCTGTGCCATGTCCTATAACAGGAACCAGGAAATAATAGCCGGCAAACAAAACTAAGATACAGAAATAAAAAGTATTGAGTATAGTGGAGGATGTTATTTGGTACAGTGTAATGGAAGGGCACAGCAGGAAGGGATATCCTTAGTCTGATGTGCGTGGCTCTGCCTTACAGTGAGAAAACTATGAAAAGGGGAAGGAAGAACAACATTTCTCCAATTGTGGCATTTATCCAATTTCACATCCACATGGTGTTACTGCTGTTTATTCATATATGTTGACACTTCATTAACAAATAAAAGATCATGCCTGTTTCCCAAGATGATTATAATCTAAGGTCCTGCTCCAACAAGTTGGCAAACACTTTTAACTTCTAACATAGTCAGTGGGAGATGAATTAATCAGTACTGAGAGAAGGTGCCCAGCTCCTTCCAGGATTGGGCTGAAAATTAAGACTCTCTGAATTGAGAAATGGTAAAGAAGCTCATAGTGAGGGCAAATTTGAAATTTCTTATCTGCCCAATATAAATTTCTATATTGCCTTCATTACTATTATATCTGACAACCTCTATGCAAAAAATTACACCATAAAACAGTGGTAGCGCTGGGAAAATGTTGGAGCTATGGTTGTCCAGGAAAAATGTGAGGCAAGCATTTTTGTGGATGATATCATTTATTCACAAACCATATAGTCGGGAAGGACATACACAAGCATTTGGGTACGTCTCTTCAGGTCCCTGGGAGAGATGAATAGCAGAGCTAAATAGCAGACCCTGCCTTGCATGTTTTAGAACAGCATATTTTATTTTTATGGCAAGGGGGTTTTATAATACCTATCACAAGATTTTACAGAGGGAAATCCATAATAGGAAGAAAAAAAGAAGCCAGACTACATAGTGACACCTACTTTCTGAGTTTGTGCAAAAAGCATAACATCATCTCCAAGGAACATACCATCTGCAGATCTCTGGCTAACACACACACACACACCTCTCCAACTATGCAATGCAACTGTGCAAGAGGTTTTCTCCCAACTATACAGCTGGTCCAGTAAAAGATATCACAAAAAACCCTTGCCCCATACTTTTCCTGGACCATCATGGCTATAGCACCACTCCAACCCTGTGGGGTTTTTTATGTCACTCACATTTTTCCATTGCAACTTAAGCCCTGCTCCACGTATTCGGTACTCACTGGTCATGAAAATAAGGACCTGCTGTTGGGAGAGAGCATTGCCAACAGCTAGAGTACAGAACTGGGGATTATGAATTCTGGGGTCTTCCATTTTCCACATCTACCCTATTCTGTGACTGTGGAAACCCATGTCTCCATTTCTCTATCTGCCAATAACACATACCAATCTCCTAGCAACATTGTGGGACTTAGTAAATTAGTTCTCATCTACACAAGGAAAAATAAATGTGCTCTTAATGCAATTTAACTGACATGAGGTAAAACTAGAGAGCCGATAAAGCAGCATGTGATTCTCATACAAATGAGCAAGCTGAGGAAAACTCTAAGGTCCCCAGGAGTCTTTAACTGACCCGCTAATTTGTTTCAAAACTACATGCTGTCCCGCCTTCAGTAGGGCTTTACCTGACACTAGTTTAAAGTGCTGCTGATATTGTCTCATTGATTCCTTATACTCTCCCATTTGTCGTCCTTTAACTGTAAGCTCTTTGGGGCAGGAACCATCTTGTTGTGTGTTGTTATATCCTAATGGGGCCCTCATCCATTACTGAAGCTCCTAAGCACTATTGTAATAAAACTAATTAATAAAGGTGCACAGATACATTGGTCCGATATTGTATCGGCACCAATATAAAGAAAATTGACTACATCAGAAACCAGCCTAAAGCAGCCAATAATTTGGCTGATAAATGCTTGTGCGTGTGTGCAGCCACAGCGCAGCGCAGCATGCAGGCAGCAAGGAGCACAAGCCTGGCAGTTTGGGAAGCTGTGTCCAGCTGGTAAGTCTGGTGTGGTGGAAGGGGAGGGAAGGGGTTGGGGGGCAGATCAATGCCCTCCACAGTGAGGGAGGGAGTGGGGCTAGGGCAGGTGCTGCCCAGCTACAGCGGGCACGGGACAGAGCCGCGGTTTATCTCACTGCTGTGCGCTGCTTATCCAGCAGCTTGTCTGGTGACTCCCACTGCTCGTCTGGGAGGGGTCAGGGGAGGGTGCGGCATGTGCCCCTGGATCTGCATTGGGTGGGCAGGCAGGCTGCAACTGCAGACTGGGGCTGAGGGCTGTGCTACACTGTGCTCAGGATGGGCAGTGGTGGTGCTAGGATGTGGCTATTGGGGGGGGAGGGGAGGAGCTGCAGCCACCCCCAATTTCACTATAGCCCCCTCCCAGCGCTGCCACCACCCATTCCAATCACAGCACGGTGAGGCCCCCAGCCTGTACCTGCAGCCCTTCCTACCCCCCCTGGATGAGCCGCGGCTCCGTCCTGCACCCACCCTGCTCCAGCAGTGCCTACCCCAGCCCCACTGCCTCCCTCACCACAGGGGGCGTTGAACTGCACCCCCACGGCTCTTCCCTCCCCCTCCCCTTTCACCACAACAGACTCAGCTGAATCAGAAATCAGATCGGCTGATATGCCTCCTTAAAAATCAGCTATCTGTATTGGCCCCCAAAATGTCTATTGGTGCACCCCTATTAAATGAATAATCATAATAGTCAGCTAACTCACATTAAGAACATACTTTTTTTCCCTAGTGAAGACATGCCCTTAATGGCTGTAAAGAGGCTACATATGCTTACTACCATTTTATACCTTCAATATCCTTATGTATGTTAATGAAAGATACTTCAATGTTAACAAAAGATATGGACTCATCCATATGCTTTATGAGTGAAAACCTAGCCTCACTGGAGGTAACAAGAGTTCTGCCATTGATTCCAGATTTTACAATCCAGGTTCAGCTCTCTTAACCTACCCTCACAGTCCATCTTTTTCAAAAATCCTATAATTTTTTTATCATCTTTGAGCTTGCTCTCATTCAGTGTCCCTTCTTATACATCACACTGCTGTACCCACAATCTTTGTGGTCTTGCTAATGCCAGATAAAGAGAAATTCTTACTTAACCTTGTTTTACATGAGCAGCCTCTGTTGAGACAATCTAATATGGCATTCACCTTTTCTGTGACAGTGCAGCATTGTTAATCCACTCAATTTATCTTCTACTGTATCTCTACAACCTTCCCTATGTTCCTTCTGCTTACCCAATTATCCTTCATTATTTGCTTGAGCATTTGATTACGTTTTCATAGGTTAGCCCTTTTGCCTTTGTCCTTATTGAATCTCATTTCATTGATTTCAGACATTTCTAATTTGTCAGGCTCCTTTTGCAGCTTTGACTCTCACCTCCCATCCTTTTCACTTTTGGATTGTCTGCAGATCTGATGTCTGATCCCGCCCCAATTGAAGACAATAGGAGCATGACTAGACCCTTGCTAAACTCACTATGAGCAGGTCCAGACAAGCACACATGTGTTTCCCTGGGGATAAATAATAGCAGAGACAAATAGCTCTGGAATGTGACAAATTGCCCTGGCTGGGGTAAGGGATGCTGGGGCCAGCACCTGGGCTGGCTCCAGCAGCTTTACCTGGGGTTCCGAGGGCCTCCTGGGGCTGCAGCAGCAGTGATACGGGCACACAGTGCCTGCCTAGCAGTTGGAGTGTGGCTCTGGCCAGCCAGGCTCATTTTGGGCAGTACACGCTGCAGCCATATCCAGGTTTTTTTAGACCTTTTTTTTTTTTTTTAAGGTACCAGGACTTCCAGGTATCTAATTCTAGATCAATATTGCAAATATGCAGCATGGAGAACCTTTTGATGCACCACAAAGCGCACATGCATGCTTGTTTGGACATACCCCATATGGTCACATCACGCAATCTGTTAAGGAACAGAGATTATTTTAAGGGCACATTTTAGAGTTAATGAAATAGGATCTACTTAGTCCAGCAAATTTTGCTGATGAGCTCTTTCATTGTCATCTTGTCCCACTCTGCAGCATGTGGAGCATCCCATGGTGCTTCAGCAGGGATCTACAAATAAAAACAAAATATTAAAGACTTAGCACAGAGTATATTGCTAGCCAATCACATCTAGTTTGAAGGCAGGGAGGTCATCTATTGCAGTGGGCCAAACTCGCTCTGGCTACTTGTAACGGTGAAAATCTGAACCATCTCCATTGTTTTTCACAGAAATACTCTGGAGTTGTACCAGTGTGATTTAGGGCCTCTTACAGACTGCTGTAAAATGAACTGAATATTTAAATTCTAATTTATTGCAAAGAATTATTATAGCACATCAACTACCTTACTGTTTACTTGAAATTTTTCAAAAGAAAGATATTTCTGAAGAAAAGCAGGTGGTGTCAGTACAGTCTTCGGCTGAAGCTGCCCTTGCAGCATCTTTTATACATGCATAACTCATTCTCCCCCGTGTAAAATGATTTGTATGAATTAAGTCTTCAGGGGGCTGGGCTTTGGGATTGTAATAAATGCATGGGATGGTTGATGGGTATTTGAAAAATGGGAGGCCTTTCCACAGATTTCTTTTAGTTCAGAGGAAATTTGATGACCTACACATTTTGAGTTTAAAAATATTATGTCTCAGCCAGGCTGCAAGAGCAGAGGTACACCTGGTAGGGCTTGTGCTGAACAGCTATGGGCTTTAGCAGGTGTCCAGGACCCAGTGGGTAGAAGCAGGGGGTGGTCCCAACAGCTGGGAGGGAAGGTGCCACCCAGTCAAGGAGGCCTCTTGCCTGCATCCCCACCCCCTTCCCTCCAGGCACTGCCTTGCTGGGTGAAGATATAACACCCTTAATTTGGTGCTGTGGAGCCACTCCCTGTCTTGATCCATGGCTCCTTCTCCTTGAGGCTGTAGCTGCCAGGACCCCAGAATCTCCCTGTTGTCATCCCCTAGCTTCTTCCTCAGCTCCACAGCTGGAGCCTGTAGCTGCAAGTATAGCAGCATCCATTCCAGCATCTCTCCTTAACCAGTGCTCAGGGCTCACACTCCCTTGCCCACCCCTAGTTAGATGACTGAGCAGGAGCATCCACACTGGCACAACAGATACTTCAAGAGAAAAAAAAAAGTAATAGTCACCCACACACTCTCTCAACATGCTTTTTCTGGGCTTGGTGTATGTACAAGCAAGCCCTATGTAGACCTGCTGCATAGGATCAAGTAGGTGGAGGCTCAACTTTGCTCCTGTTACAGTGCACTGGCCAGCACTGCCACGCTAAAACAAGGCAGAACCGTGCTGCTAGTATAGATTACTTAATGTTCCTTTGAGGCAAGGCAGGATGCATATCTCTGAGAGGTACAGTGCTTTGCCTGGGGCTGTACATCTAGCTATATCCTTTTCACAGGGCAGACTGTACACATATAACCTAGTCCTCTGTGTTTCAGGGCTTGAATTCTTTAAGTACAATCTTTAGTAAATAATAAAATACATTTCAACTTCTAGTTTTTAGCCACAACATCACTTCTGGCCCTTTTAGTGTTGCACCATATTACTGTTCATTGTTTGCTACTGTTTCTTGAATGCAGAGGTTCTAAAAGGATTTTTCTGAGCCTTTATAGTAAATAAAATGCCTATTCAATGTCACCAAGACTCTTGGATGCAAGTGCATGGAACAGTTATATATAGTATATTCATGTCATACCTCTTTGCCCATTTCATCCATTTTCCTCCATAGATTGTTATAATCCAAGTAAACCAAGGGATTCCAAACTGTGGGAAACAGACCATAGAGTGGATAGGACTTTCCCTGAAATACAAAAGGGAAGATAACCCACTGACATGCAGCCCAATTACTGGAGTAAGGCAGCACCTTAAATCACCAAAGCAAAAATAGGCTCCTTTTTCAATCTAAAAATGTTTGTAAATGAACATTATGCAAGCTACTACTATGAAAAATCCTAAGGAAAAGTGATGAGGAAGGGACTAGGCCGATTCTTCGAACAATACTAAAATTATTTGTGGGCGCAGGGGGACGAAATACTTATTTCTGGCAAGTTGCCACATGTTTGGAACCAAACAGATCTCAACCTTGCCCCAATGTAAAGTACTCCTTGCTACGATATGTTCTTATTAGTGATGGATGAAACAGAAATGTGGTGGTTCACTTCAAAACAGACAGCCAAAGTTGTAGCTGAGCTCTAAATCAACCTCTAAACTATCTGAATTTCTTTGCAATTTAAGTTGTATCATCACTAGGCTCATGGAAAAATTCCTCAATGATATCTTGCATCATAGGATAATACTGGTGTTAAAGAATTCAGCAACTAACAAATACAAATAAAACACTAAAACCTCTATTTTTTTTTTTTTAGCTTCGGAAAAGAATTCTTTGCACTTTTAAAAATATTGCACATAATGGAACTGAGCAAGAATACAGACCACTTACCATGAGCCTCTGAATAGTTAAAATGAAAGTAATCCAATGGCAGCTGGTTCTTCTTATGACAGCTTTAATCTAAATAAGGAGCTGCATAAATATTCAACATTTTCTTTCATTAAACTGCTTTGAACCTGGTCTGTTTGCTAGGTGATATCCACAGCAAACTCTCATTGGCTTTTTCCATGTATATGAATACACTGCTGACATTCTTCTAAAAAGTCATCTGCAAAGATCCATATTATACAGGAGTATTTCTTTATCCTACTGCCACTGGCAATGACAAAGCTGAACCTCAAATTTTAAGCCAAGTTATGGTCCCCATCATGCAGATAAGTTGGGATGCGAGGTCACAGCAAGCAGCTATAACGCTGTACAGAGAGGAGAAGAGCATCTTTGAGCATGGACAACAGCATTTCAGTAAAGAGCGGTGCTGGCCTCCCTCCCTCACCACAAAACATCTTGAGTCCGAATGGCTGCTCTTAGACAGAAAAGGAAAGACTTGCTGTGAGAGCATGCTCACTGCCAAATCTTGCTAGTACTCTATGTTTTCCCCAGCTGTAGCAAGGGCTGGCAGTGAGCCTGCTCTCCTAGCAAAATCTGGAGACAGTAATTCCTGCTCCTGGCCCAGCAATACATAATGCTTGGAGTCATTGCCTTGGCTCCTCCTATTCTCACTTCTGCTCAGGATTTAATCGGCCTAAATAATTCTTTCAAATGCTGCTGAGAACCGACTGGACAGCAAAGACACAGCATTCAGTACCACTGGGCACTGACCTGATGGTGGTTTCACTCTGAATTATTTTGTACACATTTCTAACTCTGGGCCACTACTTCTCTTTCTATTTTTCCTCTCTTTTCTTTAAGAGGGCTGGAGAAGGTGCTTTACCTCCCATTCCTACTTCTTCTTGAATGATTTTGTAGCCTCAAAAGATGAGGATGCTGCTGCTACACTAAGAAGACCTGAACCACCAGGCAGTTCTTGAACACTGCCTGCTCCTTCTCTTTGGGTACTCTATAGTAGAAGACAGAACATACCTATGGATAGAAGGGGATGTACTGGCTAATCGACCAGAGTCCTTGCTTGGTACACTTATATTATTCCTAATGGAAAATACCCATAGGATATTCATAATTTTCTACTTTCTTGTTCTATTTGTAAAAATGAGATATAATTATACTATAGAGCTTAACCATTGCTAAACTTTCCATTTAATTAGGAATCTAGATTCTTTCAAAACACCAGCACTTGCACTCATACAAAATTTAAAACAAAGTGAAACAATTAAAAGGCAAAAGGCAAGGTCCAATTCCACCACTATACTGCCTCAAAGATTAATTATTACCAAGGCTTTAACATCAGATGTTACCTCTCATTGGAAGGAGGGGAAGAGCAAGGCCAAGGCCTCCTCTCAGAAGTCATGACACAGGAAGACTTCCCACAGCTCCATTAACTTCAAGAATAGGGGTGAAATGACTTTGCCTTATAGATCTAAGGAGGAAGTACTTCCTCTCTGAAATAACCTCATCTTTTTCCTTACTGTATAACAAGACCTTCACGCAACCTGCCAATCTATTTACTGAACTCACACTGAGAATGGACTAACCAGCATACAATCTTTCAGCTATTTGGCCTATTTTACTCAAGAAAAAGAAGATTTTGTTTAAAAAAAATTTTTAAATGGAAGAGTCAGTTTTGTGAAAGTGATTTAAGAATAAATTCTTTTCATTCCCTCTCCCTCTCTTATTTAGACCACAGATCTCCTTCATTAGTGCCCCAAGCAACAATCAGATAATAAAAGCCAGCACTAGTTCTAGTACAGACTTTTTTCCAAAGCAGCTCTGTCAATGTCAGCTATTAATTCAATTGAATTTGGCAGCAACATGGTCAGATACTCAAAAAAACTCTGATCTAATCACTGCAGTTGGAATTGCTAATACAATGGTTAGAATCTGCACACTGTCCAGTCACACTGCCATTTTCCTGCATATTCCCTACAGCTTGCACTCACCTTGGTTCATCTTCACTGGTGCAGCAATTGTTGTACAGCCAATGCACACCACCTCCCATCATTTTAACTATCATCAATTTAGTTATCAATTTATGCTCAGGGCAAGTTTAAGATGTTTAGAGTTAATGCTGACACTTATTTCGTATCATAAACTCCCCCACTCATGAACCAAGACTCCACTGTACCAGGCACTCTAACAAAGAAAGAGAAAAAATATGGCTCCTTCCACAAATAGTTTACAATTCAAATACATATGCCAGTGTGTTTTATTTACTCTCCCTTGTTAATTACAATGAAGCAACACTATTGGCTTAGAATTTACCAGCTTCCAAATAATTGGTTGTCATTTACTGCTATGTTTGGGGACAAATTCTGGGCCCAAGGAAGTCAATATACTGACTGCAGTGCTCCTACTATTTGGCTTTCGATGAGAAACTAACCAGCAACCATGAAGATCAACATCTTCTACTGACCTATAGCACTGTGGGACTAAGATGGGAGAACCACCTGCAAGAGTAGTACATCCAAAGACCTGTGCTTCCTCTGCCATGCCTTAGAGTCCACCTGGTACACAGAAGAGTCCACAGGTTTCCATAGAGGGGATGCTTCCTCCCTTCCATGCCCCCAACTTTAGGATTACTCCCTTGTTCTCCATAAAGAGGTATGTTTAGGCAGAGCACATAGAAAGAGATTTGGTTTCACAGCATCACGCCACTCCTGGCCTGGACAGCAGGGAGGGACCTCTCTGACATTAAGGATCTCTGGAATGGGAAGTAATGTGCTGACAAGACCGTGGCAAATTTAGTGTGGGCTAAAAATGTTTTAAGGGCAAGATTCACAAAGGAGGAATCAATGGTTCTTCTTTTAACCAAGAGCTCAGTGTTTAGTCACTGAAGCAAAAGATTAATTACACACACAGCTTTCATGGTGGTTATACAAAGGGAGGGCCATATGGAACACACATTTCAGCACCCTCAAATCAGTGAGAAGCCAGTAGATAATTAATAATGCCTAAGGCTGTGTTAACTTGTATGCGTCTTGTATGCCAGCTTGAGGAAAAGTGCCATGTTGGGAGCAGTAACAGCTGAGGAAGCCCTGGACTGTATTGCTCCATTGGAGCTACACTGCAAAGGAGATAGTGGGCTGGGATCAGAGGTTCCTAAATCCACTGTGCAAACACAAGATGGCCTGCGCTGTGAGGTATGTGAATGTACTGTATGCGTATATGGAAATCTAAACTTCCTTTTTTTTAAAAATGTTCTGATGATAACTAATGTATAGTTTTACCTTATGTTCAAAATATATTCTGTGCTAGCCAGCCTAGCAGTGCTCTTACCTACACTTGTAGTTGGAGTTATTTTATTTCTGAATGCTCTTAGACAAATATAATATGGGCCCTCTTTGGCTTATGAATTAATTTACCTGCTTTTAAAAATTGCTAGATACTGGACAGAGCATGAGCAGAATCTCTTTACAGTGATTCTTCGCAGTGAGCAATCTTTGCAATTATCTCATTTTAAGCTATTTTGTTTTTCTTATGTTCTGGGTGGTTTATCTTGGGAACTACTGCTTTCTTAACTGACAGACAAATAGCCTACTGGCTTGGCTCCTGTGATAACACAAAGGCTGCTGGACAAGCCCGCACAGTTCATCTAATATTGTATTTCCTATGGTGTTGAGCACTTCCCTACTGAGTTCAGATTTTAATCCTGCTGGAGTTAGTTACTGACCACGGAACCAAAGAAAACAACAAAGAACAACAAAGAAAACTGCAAAGGCTCTGCTGCACGTGTATGTGGCTGGAGGGTAAAACTCAGCTACAGCCCTGTGGGAGGTGCAGTTTGGAACTGACCCACTCAGGGTAGAGTTCAGGGAAAATTCTATCCTATCCTGAACTTCAAAGGGATGCGAGCACTGCACCTATGTCCAGGACGGCACACCTTGCTTCTGTATGCTGCTCCTGGAGGAGGCAGGGAAGATCAAGGTTGAGTTCTGCCTCCTCCTTTGAGACAATGTGCACACTGTGGGCATGTGGCAGGAATAGTCCCTGTGCTCTCCTGAATGCAGGGGCTCCGAATGACCTTGAGCCTTGCACAATGGACACAAGTGGAAGGTTGGTTCCTTATACCTTGAATGTTCCTCATAAGGGCCAAAAATAATCTAACCCAGACTTCCTGTGGTTTCCCTTACTGGATCTGATTCTGCATCTTTACTAATGCTTTCCCACAGTGTCAGTCACAGCCTTATCTGCTGCCCACTTGCCTTTGTTCTTAAGCTGGGCAAGGAGAAGATGCTGCGTGTAAAATACTAAGCTGTACATAAAAATGACCATGTGCCATGAAAATGCTGTGTGAATGCAGCACAAAACAAATTACATTTCCTTGATCCACCTACTGGTTTTGTATTTCAGTGCTGAATGCTGCAGTGAGACACAAGGCAGCTGCATGTTATACAAGAGAAGGCTTAATACACAGGAAGGCACCAACTCCTTTGTGTTTTAGATGCTGTGGCTCAATTGATATGAAAGTGAAAGAGGAGAATGACTTTTAAGGAGAGATAGAGATAACAGACCAAAAAGAAAAAGGAAGGAAGAACAAAAGAAATGAAAGTTCCTGACCATATCTGCAAATGAAGAATTCTCCTCTCACTGCCTCTTAGGGCACTTTTAATGCACTTGGGAAGAGTACTTGCAAAGTAATCATGTTGGAAAGAAAGTCTAGTGGCCTAAAAGAAAATTTACATGTCAAAACCAAAAATATACTTAGTATTCCAGAACACGAACGGGCTTTGGATTCACATTGGTTGACATGGTAACAAGTGGAAGAAAGAGAGAACAAAAAATACAAGAAGACAGACATCAGGTGTTAATAGAATGATTCCTTAAAAACAAGATCAGTATAATGTATATCTAAAAATTCCTCTTCCAAGAAGGAAGTTCATGAACTTCTTCAAGGTACCCTAAATCCCGTAGATTGTTTTCTGCATTAAGAAAAAAACATTTCCCCATTTGCTTCTGGTTAGCTGATTCCAAGTTGTAGCCTAGAAGAAGTCAGGAGCAAAACCAGAGAGAGAGAGAGTAAAACTGGTCCTAATTATGTGGGAAATTGCTTTACAAAACTCTCCATTTAGAGGTGGAGGCATATGGATAGTGGAATGATTCTCAGCAAAGTGAACAGCTTTGCTTGGGCTTTCTGTAAATCCAACCATTCCCCTCTCTGGTCACAGCACTCAGAATGTGAGCTTCAGACACATGCACTTGGGAATGGAGCTCCCTTTACAAGTACAGCTAAACAAACAATG